CGGCTCCCGGCCTGCAGGCGCGCTGGCGTCCGGCGGGCGAAGGGAGGCGCCTCCTGGGCGCAGCTCGCACTCAGCTGCCGGCGGAGTTCTGGCCAGAGCCACGTCCTGAAACGCGCTTCTGGCTCATTCGTGTGCAAGGAAAACTCCTGGCGTTTCGCAGAAACAGGCCGAGTGCCGCGCACAGGGAGACCCGCGCCGCCTCTCGTGGGGCGGGATGAGGCGAGACGCAGCGGCGCTGCGGGCCCCGTCGCCCAGATGAAGCGTCTGGGTCAAAGCGGCACAGCACCTCGATGCCAGAGTCAGGCTCAGCCCCAGGCACACCGGTGCCTGTCGGGGCCCCGAGCGCCATCAGCTGGAAGGAGCCGGGTCTCCTCTGGCTTCCGAGCGCGCTGCCAAGGTCGGCCGGCACCGCGGGCTTCCCGTCGTGGTGGGCCGCCGGTGCGGTGCTGACGGGCTGCGAGTCAGCGTTTCCCACGGCGACACGCGCTTCCGGTCTCCATTCCTACGGGAAAACCAAGCAGGTCCAGTTCCGTGAGCACAGGGAGAGACTGCGGAGGGCTCAGCTCTCCTGAGGGCCTACAGAATGCGCTACAAGTCGCAGGCAGGACAAGCAGATTTTCCTCTCAGTTTAGGTTTCTGGAAGCTTTGCCGTCACTCACCCTCAGAGCTCAGCACGTTTCCAAATGAGTTCTCCTTAGCCAGAAATTACCCCCGATCACATTTCCTGGGAATATTTATGCCTGTCCCCACCCTGTGTTGGCTCGGACTTGCAGGCGCCATGGACGCCCGCCCGACCCCCCTGGAGGCCCCCGGTCGGCGCGGAGGGCGGCAGAGCTGCGCCGGCCCCTCTCGAGCAGCCGCCCGGAGCGCCGTCTACCGCGGTGACTTTTGTCCGTGGCTCAGGAAAAAGTCAAGAACAAGTTCGTTCCGTGGGACAAAATCCAACTGAAAACTGGAGTGTTGCTGGCAGAAAGCGGGCGTCTTGCGTGCCCAGGACTCCGGACACAGGAAGTTCCGCTCAGCGACAGCAGTTCAGACGGGCTCACGGCCTGGCACGCGGCCTCTCTGCGCCGAGCCCGCCCCGACGTCAGCGCCGGGCCCTGTATGAGCTGAAGGAGCAACACAAAGTCAAGGCGACAGGAGCCCTCCCGTTAACCCCCAAAGCGTGCAGTCCTGGCTTTCCCGTGAGGAAGTTGAAGCAGCAAAATCAGAGTCCAAGTACAAATCCAGCCCCCCGAACTAGAGAGGTGCGGGCCTGGTCGCACCCCACAGAGCCACCGCCAGCAGCTGCCGCGGCCTGGAGGTTGCAGGTTCAGCTCTGCCTCTCTGGGCGCCCTGGGGTTTTCCTCTGCAGGCAGTTTGGGAGACAGACCTGCTCCCAGGAAGGCGGGCCTGAGGGCTGTCTGCCACCTGCATTCACCCCGAGAATTCAAACGGGCCCCGAAGAGGGCGCCGGCACCAGGTTCTCAGACACCCCTCAAACCAAACCGGGTGAACGCGCCCTCGTCCTGACCCAGACCTGGCAGCAGCAGAAATCGCCAGGAACCCTTTAGGGCAGCAGCAGTCTTTCACCTTAGCCTCAGGCATAAACTTGCGGGCTCAGACCTCCCAGCTCCAGGCTGGCCGCAGGGTCCCGGGGCAGCTCTCCGTCAAGGCCGAGGGCTTGCGGCCCAGCACGCCCTGGGAACTGCTTGCTAGGCCTCTCACCAGCAGAGGCCCCAAACACGCACAGGTACAGGGTGCACTCATGCTGGCCAAGGGCGTGTAACACGCACTTACCAGGAGACCGACGCCAAGGGAAAGTCATCAGAAGAAAAAACGGGCCTCAGAGCGGCCGGCCGTGTGAACCCCAGCGCCATCGTGGAAGCAGGCCTTAGCGGCAGGCGCCGTGTTCACGCGGGCCACGAAGCCTCAACTTCTGCCGCCCACGCACCCGCCAGTGCCCCGGCCCGCCGGTCTTCCGGGCAGGGTCAGGAGCAGACCTTCGCGCGGCCACCAACCCAGCAGGAAGCAGGCCCCTGCGCGCTTACGGCGGCCCGTGCCATGGACGCGCCTTTCCCACGGGGCTGAGGGCGTCGCGGTGGCCAGATCTGTGGGCGGCAGCCTGAGGGTCACCCTAGGACCCCACAGTTTCTGCCGTCAGCCCAGACAGGTCACACTCGGTGCACAGGACCTTCACTAGGGCGAGCGCGGTCGCTTAGTGTCCAACAGAGGAGGGTGTGGCCTCCCGACGCCCGTCGGCTCCGGCCCCTCGTGGCCACGCCGGCCCAGG